GGCCCTCCTGAACAGCCTCTCCCCATCTTTCTTGTAGGCCCCCTTGAGGTACTGGAAGACCGCTATAAGGTCACCCCGGAGCCTCCTCTTCTCCAGGCTGAACAGCCCCAACTCTTTCAGCCTGTCCTCATAGGAAAGGTGCTCCAGCCCTCTTATCATCTTCGTGGCCCTCCTCTGGACCCTCTCCAACTGGTCCATGTCCTTCTTATGTTGGGGGCTCCAGGACTGGACGCAGTACTCCAGGTGAGGTCTCACGAGGGCAGAGTAGAGGGGGAGAATCACCTCCCTCGACCTGCTGGCCACGCTCCTCTTGATGCAGCCCAGGATGCGGTTGGCCTTCTGGGCCGCAAGAGCACATTGCCGGCTCATATGGAGCTTCTCGTCCACCAGCACTCCCAAGTCCTTCTCCTCAGGGCTGCTCTCGATCCATTCTCCACCCAGTCTGTATTTGTGCCGGGGATTTCGTACGCCTGTTCATGCATGCAAAACCAAGTAGGTTTTAGCAGTCGACCGGCAGGCTCCCAGGCCGTGTTCGCAAACAGCACTTGCATTACCTGCGCTGATTAGGGAGGAAACTGAAGTTTTTACCTCTGACATTGCAGAAAAGCACAATTAGCAGTAAGTGCACTCTGTAGACTGGGATACCTGAGAAAAAGGCGTTTCATTTCTTACTCTGACTATTTCTTACTTCTGTTTAGGCTGAAGTATTCAAGTTTGATTTTTTTTTTCCATCATCCAAACAACTTGTACTTTCTGTGTTCACAATCCAATAACCGATGTGCTGATGTTCTGAGAGAGAGGAAGAGGAGTGTGGGGGAAGGATGCCACAGGTATAACGCAATGTGCCAGAGGTTTCGCTGCAGATGGGGAACACCACAGATCTGTCAATGCCTTGGGCCAGTCAACAGGCAGAACATCAGGAAGATGGCAGCCAAAATAAAGATACTTCATGAAGAAATGTAGAAGCCAACAGGCACACCTGTGCATTACAGCCACATGGAGAGTCCCTGTAAAAAAATCTGAAAACCTGGACATCAGGCTTAGCTCAACATCAGATCCTGAATGACAGAATCATAGAATCATAGAATCGTTAGGGCTGGAAAGGACCTTCAAAGGCCATCTAGTCCAACCCCCCTGCAAGGAACAGGGATATCTCCAACTAGATCAGGTTGCTCAGGGCCTCATCCAACCGGGCCTTGAACGTCTCCAGGGATGGAGCATCCACCACCTCTCTGGGCAACCAGAAAACTGCTAGCTGCAACGAGCAAGGATGACCTGTTTCTCTCCCACATCCAAGGCAAATCACAACCATCTGTCCTTACGCACGTTTCCAACCTTTGTCAAGGGAGCTGACTCATGTGGAACCCTGTCTGCACAAGAGTCTCCAGAACTCTGGTTACCAGCTCCCTGTGAACGTACAACAGCAGTGCTCACCCTGCTTGTGCCCACAGAGCCAAGAGAGACGGAGAGCACACTGTCCCGAGCCAGACTGATGGTTAACACACCCTCTGGCTCCCTGATCTCTATCCCCAACATCTGATAATGGCAAACCAACTGCTGACCTTCTTTTTTAAATCCTTACAGAGCATGTTCATATTGAATCAGTCGTTCAGCCCCCAAGGCTGTGGCATTTTTTATCAGGAACCTGAAAGCTGGGCTTAATGCACTGTTGAATCACAGCCTTATGCAATTTCAATGCCTGCAGTGTCTTCTCCAGGCGAGATCCAGGGCTTGCATAGCCACTTTATACTGTCAGAGCAGATGGGAAAATAAAAAAAAAAAATCACACCTCATCTCTCAGACTCAAAACAACCACTTCAAAAAAAGCTACTGATAAGAAACTTCCGTGCTTCAGTAAATCAGCCTAGAGTTATTAGTACTACAATCATTTTTAAAACATCACCTTCACCATTTACAGGATGTTTTTCATATTTTAATTAGTAAAAAAACTCGTTTGCACCATGCTATTGACTTCTACACAACACAGTAACACCAAAAGCAGGGTTAGCCTCAGAGACAGATTTCCATAATAAACCCATTTTCATCAACAAGTCAAGCGTATCACAAGTATTTCACATCTTTTGGATCACCTATTAAACACTTTCCTTGAATTGCAGCTTCCAAAGACCTATCCTTTAGCATTTATATAGTTTCTGAGTAAAGATATTAAAAACATGACTGAGAAACTGTGAATAATAAATTAAAATAACAAGAGCGATGAGAGACCATTTTATCTCTGAAGCAGACACAGAAGAAAGCAAATGAGGCTGCAGTGGAATTTCTAGCCCCAAGGCACTGTCCCATGACTATCACTCCCTCCACCCTCTGCCATCTTACTTTTATAATTCCAGTGGATGCTGGTGACTTGGATCTCCTGAGTTGGAATATATTCCTCAATAAATTTCTTTCCCTGCAGTCGGTGCCAGAGTGTGGTTTTCCCAGTGTTCCTGTCCCCGCGGATCACAATTTTCACTGGGGAAAAAAGCAAGCAGACAAATACAGTTGATTAAAAACAAATTGAGGCATGCTGTGAAAAGCACATTAACTTTTTGCAAGCATTATTCAGATGTAATTAGTTCTCCCATATAACACAGGCATGATGTGTGTGTTAAAAAACACAAGCTTCAGTCATCAAAATCAGCGTTCATTCAGCTACTCACACTTGCTCAGCAGAAAGAACCGACATCGAGATTGAATCTTCAGATCTGCACAACTTCCGCCAGCCAGGTCTCTGCTCCTTCCACCCCTCCCTAGCCCTTACTCCCACTCTGCCATGCCCTATTCCTTTGCTGGCCTTTATGCCAGGCTTCTCCTTCAACTGCCTCCTCTGTCATTCCCATTTCTCCTTAAATACTTCTCATTGCTTGGGAAAACAGAATCATAGAAACATTTAGGTTGGAAAGGATCTTTAAGATCATCGAGTCCAATGTCAACCCAACACTGCCAAGTCCACCACTAAACCATGTCCCTCAGCACCGCATCTACATGGCTTTTAAATACCTCCAGGGATGGTGACTCCACCACTGCCCTGGACAGCCTGTTCCAGTGCTTGACAACCCTTTCAGTGAAGAAGTTTTTCCTAATACCCAATCTAAACCTTCTCTGGCACAACTTGAGGCCGTTTCCTCCTGTCCTATCACTTGTTACATGGGAGAACAGACAGACCTCCACCTCACTACAACCTGCTTTCAGGTAGTTGAGGGATAAGGTCTCCTCTCAGCCTCCTACTCACTTCCAGACCCAGTTGCTGACGGAGAGCTCAAGGACCAGTTCTCAGCTGAGCCCATTAGGCAGGGTCCTGCGTTCAGAGGTGCTGCTCCCTACACCCCACAGGCGTAGGTGACTCTGAACCTTGGCGGCAGTGAAACTGTTCTTCTGGGACAGTTTTGGGAGAGCTGAGAGGTGGCTTCTGGTGAACTTCCCCAACTTTCTTGCACTGGGCCAGCATCCCCTTTTCCAAGGGAAGCAGAACAAGACTGTGTACTGTTCTTCAGCTGCTTCAGCTCACAGCCCAGACGGTCTCAGGTGACGAAGCAACCCTTGGCAGGGACAAGGCAGTTTACGTTGAGAGGGGTCTATCTTAAACTGCCCCTGATAAATTCACCAAACTGCCTCTGTTGATGACCACAGCTTGACCCAAATTAAACCAAAATCAGTCTATCTCACATGCATTAAAACCAAGCTAAACTGAACCAAAACAAACATGCCCCTCTGGCGACAAACTCACTTAAGTACCAGGGAAATAAACCCCAAAGCAGTCGAATCCCTGCACGTCCTCCATGTGTCAGAGGGACGGTCTCCACGCAGGAGCCAGCCCTCAGCTGGCTGTAGGTGAGGCTGTACTGATGGCACCCAGCAAACGCATCCTCAGAAACGGGGTCAGGCACAACAGCTCTGCTTCCACCGCCCAGCCTCACCCCCAGCTGCTGATCTACCCCATGTGCCTGGGCTTGGATCCGCAGCAAGGAAAGTCAGTCAACAGAGAAAGTCATTCAAACTCTCCCAAGAAGTGCCCAAAATATCATAAACTGGCCACGACCTGGCAAAGTAACTTCTGTAGCAATTAATATAACGAACTTTCCAGAGGCTTCCCTAATGTTACTTTATTCTTTCTGAAAACAGTATGTTTCTAATTTTCCTCTTGCATTATAGCATTATTTTTTTAAAATACCATCCCTGTTTTAAGTGGCAACCACAAGGCTACTGGGAAACGTGAGGTGACTTGAACAGAATTTTTATGCTTGTGTTTTGCACAGGAGCCATTATCCCCCAGAAAATGGGTCGCTCAGAGACATTTCACGGCAGATTCAGGTGATCGGTATTAGGTTGTGCATCACCATTTGGGCAAAGAAATCTCAGACTGCAGACTGCCTCTGTTGTAACTCCGGAGTTACTGCAGGCACGTCAGGGAAAAGTTTAAGAGTTCAAATTCAAGGTAAAACAGACAACACACACAAAGTCTGGGAAGAGTTTTGTCTGGTGAAACCTTGTGCTGCAGTTCCACTGTGCGTTTTTTGTTGTACACAGAGAGGTACTGCTGTTGATTCTTTTACAAAGTCACTTATGAAAACAGCAAAAGGATAATAAAGGCAAAAATCAACACAGTATTTATAGGCTGACTTCACTTACAGGTCCCAGAGCACCTCTGCAGAGACAACCAACTGTTTCCTGCATTTCCTGTTGCCCTGTGTGTGATTCTGTTTCCCACTTGCAGATGGTGAAATAATCAATGGAGGATTCCTTTGATTTTTCTTAATTAACGCAGCAAGCCCGTGGCATAGGCAGAATGAGATGCCATTTGTCCCCTTTAAAACCCAAACCTTTCTAAACGCTCTCGCTGCCCACCTTAGAGAGATATTTTAAAATTTGTATTCCCTCATGAACTGCAGCATGAGATATCTTACCAGTGAGTTTCAAGGGGCACATGGACCCTTCCTTAAATAGTTAGGCTGCTCTCAAGGCGGACTTTCAGGATCACTGCCAGGCAACTTGACTGTGAGCTGTCCCCAGAAGGGGCAACTGTAACTCCCCTGGGACTTTCCTACTGCCAACAGCGTGATTTAGGCAGCTACGCATTGAGTTGGATCAAGGAACAGAACTGGTGGAAAACTAACCCTAAAATTATTCCTTTTCAGTTTTCTTCTCTAGCTCAAGCGCCCAGCTGCACGCAGCAGAAGCAGCACACCGGAGGCACGGCTGGAGTGGCAGGACATCACCCCCACCCCTGAGCAGCTCACGTTTAGATGAATGGAGGGTGCCTGTGGCACCACACGCTCAGTTCGAACAGGTCCAACGGCCCTTTCCAGCTTCAGCACTCTCCATGTTAGGATCTCTTTCCTCCTACATAGTGCATGAGTTTTCACTAACTTTTTTCCTGAAGAAAGAAAAAGTCTTTGAAAACAGAGCAGGAAGAAGGCAGGTGATGTAAATCATTTTTAGCAAGACAAAATCTGTATGTGGGGCTTTGGCTGGGGCAGGTGGACTCAGTGCCAGGCATCTGCAAGACAGGAAGGGCCGAGCGAGCTTCAGGGCACGGCCAGGCAGGCACAGCACGGGCCCAGGCTGCGGCTCAATGTGGAAAGAGGAGCGGTGGTTACGGGTGAGCTGAGTGCTGTTACCTACAGACAGTAACAATTGCTGCCTTGTTTTCAGTTAAATCGGTACTTACTGCACACAGGCCTAGGCTTGTAGCAAAGACAGAAGAGAAGGCTCCGGGGTGATCTTACTGCAGCCTTCCAGTGCCTAAAGGGACTACAGGAAAGCTGGAGAGGGGCTTTTTACAAGGGTGTGTAGTGACAGGACAACGGGCAATGGCTTTAAACTGAAAGAGGGGAGATTTAGATTGGATACAAGGAAGAAATTCTTCCCTCTGAGGGTGGTGAGGCACTGGCGTTGCCCAGAGAAGCTGTGGCTGCCCCATCCCTGGCAGTGTTCCAGGCCAGGCTGGATGAGGCTTTGGGCAACCTGGTGTAGTGGAGGGTTTCCCTCCCTGTGGCAGGGGGGTTGGAACTAGATGATCTTTGAGGTGCCTTCCAACCCAAACCATTCTGTGATTCTATGATTATTTGTGGGAAGAAGGGTAGGGATGGGGAATAGATCAAGATGTGAGGAAAAGGCTGAACAAATCACTTTATTCATATTGTCACTGCATCAGGGAAAACAGAGGGATTTCCATTCTCCGGACAGGGAAATGGCAGCAGAGCAGTGAAGGTACAGGCCCAGAGAGCAGATCTCAGACCAACTCAGAACTAGAAATCAGGAACTCCCAGCTCTGCCCATATTCCTCCTGGACTCTGCAGCAACTGAGGATCTTGGACCCCGCAGCAAAGATCCTCAAACTTCCCTGCTAATCATCCCCATCCGGAGGGTCACAAGCTTGCCCTCATTAAGCCTTTGGGGCTGTGACTGCAAGGCTGCAATTCAAATGCTTTACGCGGTTCTGCTGCCGAAAGCAGCACATCTGATCTGCAGACACCCCCGGGCACACTTCCCGGGGGGCGGGGGGGTGGTGGGACACGGACAGGCCAGACAGCAGCCAAAGCAGGTGGGCCACAAGTTGCACAAACACCTGCACCAGCAGTGGCAGAAAACATGAGGTGGGAAGCAGCAGGAAGAGGGGAAGCTTTTCTTTTGGGAGTAATGCTGGAAGAAAAAGCTACAGTCAGAGTCTGGGAACTCTAATACTCTAAAACAACACAAAAGAAGGAAGGACCATAGCGATTACCAAAGGGATGCGCGGTATTAATTAAGTTTTGTCTTTTAAAGCATGTTTCAGGCATAAAGGTAGTAAGGGGAGTTCTTGGAGCTACTCACTTTGGTATTTCCGCACCGGTGACCGTTCAGGGCAGGCCTGCAGCTCTCCAGGAGGAGAGCCCGTGCTCCAGGCACACACAGCGGGGCTTTGTCGGGTGCTGCGCGCGCTGGCTGCAGCGTTACGGGTAAAGCCCAGAGCAAAAGGCGTACCGTGCTCTGGGCAACAGGACGGACGGATCGGAACCTTTAGCACTTCCATGTCTTTTGCTCCTGTCGCTGATCGTCCATGGATAACTCACAGGGAATCCTCCTGCCAGTGTAAACCAGCC